AGCGTTAGGTATATAAATGAATTGTTTGTCAAATTTTGAGGTCAATTATATTTAATTGTAATTTATACTTTCTTTTTTTCCCCTTCATTTTATTTTTCGTATCGAGGAGTCGAGGTTTTGTTGATTTCTTCGGATTTCGATTACTGTAACTTCTCTTCTATTCGGCCGATTTTTATGAATGAGGTCTCTTTTTATTTGTGTTTTAACGGAGAGTAAGGAAAAAATTGCTAAATACATGCGAAACAATTTTTTTTGAAAATTGGATGAATCCTAGCGTGACGGTGAAATGGTTAATGAAGCGTGAGTAATTGGGGTACGGGTATCGGCCGCGTTGGGACCCAAGGCCCATTGTTCTTCGTGACGCCGACGCAGTGATCAGGAGCGTGGGGACGAGAGGGCTTAGTGGACTCCTGTATGAGCCACGTTTAGCAAATGGTCTAATGAGTCTCGAGGCTCATCACAGATTGCACTTACCACTATCCTGGTGGCCCCGGCTATCAGAGCAAGGAGTACCAACTTTTGAAAAGGATAACAGTGTTGTGGAGATATGTCAAAGCAACGTTGTGAACAAAACGGAGTGAGTGAAATTCTCATTCAAGGAGTGCCGAACTGGTCAGCCATCCTCGAATCAGTTCGCTTGCTTCCGCTTATATATGCATATTTTAAATCAGCGCGCCCCATTCTAAGGTTTTTTTAAAAAAAACCAAGAAACGTAGACTCTTGGTATTCATTACACATAAACTAGCGAGCCCCAGAATGAGAAACAAATTTTAATCATTATTATTGACGGATTAGTAAACTTTTTACACGCTTTGGAAAATCTCAGAAGTTCGCGGTAGTCACTTTTCGGTAAGGAACTAGGGGACTCGGTTATTGTAGCGGGGGGGGGGTCGAAACGATCGCAAAGGCGGTATACTACGTATACGCGCCAAAATATGCTGTAGTAACGTCCTGGATGTTAAAAAAAAGGCGATAGGATGTAAAAGTAACATCCTAGGATGTTACTTTTACATCTGTACTACTGCAGATCTATCTTGCTGTACTACAGCATCTTTTTTCCGTGTTTCCATCTGACAGAGTTTACCATTTTTAGGATGTTACTTTAACAGCCAGAATGGTAATGACAACATCCGAGAGTTGTCGCACATTTTTTTAACATCCAGGATGTTACTACAGCGCCTCCTCTATTTCGGTGAACGAAATGACGTTAGTTTAAGAAAAATAGCCTACAATTGAGGTGCACGAAGAAAGAATTGCGTTTAGTTTACCTACAGGGAACATCCCGAGAGTCTCATGCGATTCACCTCGAAACAGGTGAATTGAGGCAATAGGGAGGGCCACGTCGCGGCCCTTCACGGTCGGGTATGACGAGGCAAATTGAAGTATGCGAGGAGTGCAGACGACGGGGCGATGCAAGATGCATGGAATACCTCCTCACGTCACCAGAGGGGGCTGAGCGCTTCCTGGTTTTGGATACGAGAGAAGGATCGCAATTTGGGACGAGAGAGTACGTGTTTAGAAACAAAACAGAGTCACCTAGGTGCACAACGGCACATCGGCCGCGCATTTTACACTACCGCGCAAGTTTCACCTTGGGGAATGCAAAAACCGAAAGATCGATCGTCGATCTGTCCCCATTTGAAGCTGTGGTAAAGAACCGATTATCAAGGTGTTCGTTGCGAGCACTTGTTTATCGATCCTTTTCAATAGGTTTAAATGGAAGATCAATCGATTTATCGCAAATCACGCCACGGCACTGGCAAAAGCCAATCACCGAGTCCTCGTTGGGAACACCCTGTTTTTATCCCAAGATCCCAGTTGCATCGTTTTCGTATTGAACGACGGTTTTTAGCATTGAAGTATCGCGCTATTGCAGTTAGGAGCTCCCGCTACGGAGAACAAAGGGCGATCGCTCCTTCGTTTAGGATCAGGGACGATTCCCACGATTTGGCAACGCTGTGTTTCCTCCATTTAACTCTATTATACATAAACGATTCTTGATGAGGGAGTTCGCTTCACCTAAAATCGATAAGAATCGATTATTTCACACTCATTTGAATGAGCCAAGAGCAGTGTTGTCAGATTTGAAGATAAAATTTTGTTTAAACTTAGGGGTAGTGTCCATAGTTGTTCCTTGAACAGCCTTTTTCTATTAGGAAGGCCATACGTGGATTACAGATTGAAAATGGAGGACTTTAGATCAGCTACATTAACAGGATAAATTTTACGAATCGAGAGTAAAATTCAACACCATAACTCTGGAAGTAAGTCCTTACTGAAGATTATAATGATTTCCCGCAGAAAATGTAAAATATAAAAGATTAAATATTGAGAATTATTGGAATTTTAGGGCAAGTCCGTGTTTACTTTAAAGTCTGTCAAAGTTGGAGAATGTTTAATATTATTGTTATGTAGGTATTTTTCCTCTTCTTTTTTTGTGGTGTCATATCGTTTTAATTTCTTGCACGGTTCTGAGGGTCGTAAAAGTTATCTTCACAAAGACGCTAATTTAAAGTTTAAATCGCAAAATTTAAAAAGGCAACTTTAATGAGCCTCCAGTAATTTAAAGGTCTCCTAAATCACAATATGAACCAAGAGAGGCCCTCCCTAATGAAAGGAGCAGTTTAAAGAACCACGAGGAGTATGATCCCAGACCTTACACTGAGACAGTTTCAAGGCTCGAAGGTTTTTTTGAGAATTATTTGAAGTTTTACCTTGCGCACACCGAAGCACAAAAGTGTCAACAAACTAAGGCCCTACAAAAAAGCTCTCTTTCATTCAGCGAGTCAATAGGCGCTGGGCAGGACCTTAGTAGAATTACTCGTATGAAAACTATGCATTCCCTCAAATCTCTTCGATTTATGAGGCACAGCAATATAGCACTATCAGACTGCTGCCTAGCTTAGAATGACTTTTCCAAATAATTTCACTCATTTATTTAGGACCCCGATAACATTTATCAGAAAAGTTGTACCTTACTTGCCTAACCTCTCCAGTTTCATAGTGTGATCCATGGCAAATTTTGATGTGATGTTTTAGTTTAAACTATTTTATTCTCCCAAACTTTAATCGTAATGTGTGGATGAGTTTTTTTTATGACAGTTAGAGGAACTTATTAAACTATGCCTTGTAAAAAAAGATGTTCTAATTCGCCTGTTAAACTATAAGGGGATATTTTAAACTATTCCCAAAGAGGAAAGGGGTCGTTGAGAGAAGAAGATATGAATTCTAATATTTTTTTCCTCTAAAATAGAAGAAAATATAAATATAAAATCTACTAAAATGCATGAAATTCCGGTAAAATATCGTCTTCCAAGCTCAGGCGGGGGATGGAGAGTGTCTCCAAAACAAAGGAAAAATTAAAAACCTAAAAATAAAAGAAATTGAACCCTCCAAAAATAAATAAAAATCAAGAATTAGGAAAAAAGTCTAATTGTAAGTCTCCAAAGCAAAAACTAAATAACTAACTCATGAACTATCCATCATGTACCCAGAACTTTTGAACGTCAATATTCATCGAAGGGTGAAAACTGCCGACAATGTAAGTGAACAAATGCCATTGAGAAATTCGAGAAAGTGAAATACAACACAAGCTCATCGTCTAGAAATGTTCAAACCTTGAGATGCTTTTTAGGACGAGAAAATATTACTCTCTTCTCACTACACCGTAGCCTACCAGCCCCTATACAGCCGGCAGAAATGAGGTCTATTTGTTTTCCAATTCCCAGTAGTGCCTCAGGAGTGAATGCAGATGCATCACAATATCCCGGAGTAGGTAATATTACATTGGCTCCGTAATGATTTCCGAGTGCTCTCTCGAATCAGACATTCAGACGGATGAAATGCTTGTTGTTAAAAGATAAACTGCACTGCACTTCTCAGGAATCGGGGAGGAGGAACTCCGGCCAGGGTGCCACATTCTTCTCGGCCCACTCAGATTCTCGAAAGTTAAACTGAAAATATGTTAAAAGTAGCCGCCCTCGTTCACAGAAGTTTTCCAAGCTCGAGGAAATATCAAATCAAATTTTGTAAAAACTTTTTCTTACCAATTTTTCTAAAATTGTCGATACTTCTTTCACTATGGCCGTTTCGAGCAACCGCTCATCGGCAGGTGTTTAAAAAAAACAATTTTAGAAAAATCGGTTAGAAAAAGTTTTTACAAAATGTGATAAAGTATGGCCGATAATAACAAAAGAAGTGAAATATAAAATCATTTTTTAAAACCATCCGTTTTGTGAGCACGATTATTTTGTGCACAGTTTTATCAGGCACAGTATTTTTCAGGAGCACCTCGCTTTTTTCTTTCCCGTAAGGTACCTATAGTGTAATGAAATATCTTCTGAAATGTATCAGTCAAGTGCGTCTCAGTACCTGACGTACTACTTGCGTGATGTGCCGTTCGAGGAGCAACCACTGAGGATTCACTTCAAATGCGGTTGCAGAGCGAAGTATTGCGAGTTCACTTTTCGCTCCATCGCGCCTTCAATTTTGCGCACGCAACACGGACATCCATCAAGTACAAATAGTTGTATGTCTGCGCCGTCATCAATGCTCGTCCTTTTCATTCTTCCGTTTCTGTAGCACGTGAAAGGCACTTGGTTTTTTACTAAAATTTTCAAAATTCGAAAATTCGTGACGCCAAATTCCAATGACGGACGTGCCCTAAAATGCACATTTAGACGGAATATGCCTTTTTCTAACCACGGTTCAGGTGACACTGGTTTGATAACACACAACCACGTGTCAAACATGAAAGCGAGAAACCGTAACCTTTGATCAAGCTTCTTACGTGTTAAACTTAACTTCAACTGAAGTGTTTACCAACGTTATTACGTTTATGTGATTATTTTAGGTCTGTAAAAGAGAGCTACAAACGGTATCTAATTTGGGAAGATATTAGAACAATGCTTCAAATCACTAGTTATTAAGTTTTTGCGGTAGTAACCTTTACTCCTGAAGGAGTCAAGGAGTTGTTTGTGTAAGAGTATTGAAATACTAACCTTTTTTAAAGAAAAAAGACGGCCTGCGAGACAGAGTTCAGCTCCCTTGCTTCATCTGCGAACAAACAATAGAATTTAGCTTTGAAAAACTTTGAATGAAAAAAAGAGCAAAAAAAAAAAGGTTCCTTATTCAATAAGTGTCTGTAAATACTATATGCTCCTCCCATTCAATATTATATGCTTTTTTCGTAAATCTCGAGGAAATGTTATCAAGGCACAAAGCATATGTAATGTCCAGAGGCGCATCAACAGAGTATCATCATGAAAACTTTCCTGAAAACCGACTACATTCAACTAGTCACATATTCACTGAGTTACACAAAAGTTAAAATACCCTCCGCTGCTGGTCGTATTTTCAAACGTCCCGAACGTAGATGGTGATATGAAAGAGCCATTTTGAGCTCCCCTCCCCTTCCCTCCCGTCCGCTCACTTTTAACCCGACAATCCGGGAAGCCGAACAAAAAGCTTCCTTTCAGGCGGCTTCATTTGACTAAATATAGGAATAAAGACTTCATTTTCTTTTCTCTCTGCGTAGTCTTCACATCAAAACTAAAATTTGTTAGCGAAAGCCGTGCATGCGCATGCTTGATAGCATGTCTGGCCCTTGAATTTCTATTGTAGTTTATAAAACCTGAAATAAAATTGAGCATGACTCCTTAAATAAAAAAACCGGCGAATTAAAAAGACCCCAATAAACTTAATTTTACAGGAGTTAATCTAATTCAGTGCTGTGATAAAGAAAATATGTATACGGCTTAGTTTGAGAGGTTCAATATTGGAGCCAAACATAGGGCGAAGCGGCGCGGCGTGTTGCCAGCGCGACATGCGCCCTGGCGCCTGCAAACCTAACAGGGATACTTCACGCATTGCGCAATGCGTGAAGTATCCCTGTTAGGTTTGTAGGCGCCAATGCGCGAGATGATGATGGAAGATTCACGGATGGATTTTTAAGTTAGATGGATCTGAAGAAGGTAAAACATTGTACAGTTTAATAGTGCTGGGTTAGAGGATCCTTCTCTTTTAAAATACTATTCTAGCCCATTAAAGTGAGGACGCTGCACTATGCATGGTCCACAGACCCTATTTAACGGAACTTTAGTCAAATTTTGAGGGTGGAAAAAATTAAAGTTTGGCACTAAAGTTTCGTCATACATACTCCCATGGATCGTCACCTAAGTTTTCATCGACTAATAATGACTTATAAGACTGTGACGGACCCTAACAACAGAGCACGCGACGGGTCTTGATTAGCTGATTGTGGGCCGCATTGGGTGGTGCGTTACAAGGTGTTTATTTTACCGAGTTACGCATCATCTATGTAAATTGTTGGGCAACATGGTTCCACCTGGTGGCAAGTGACTTCCTTTTCACCCAGTTTCATTAATTTTGAACTGAAATTTGTATGCTTTTTAACGCTGCAAACATACGCCAAAAATGATAGAAATCAGTGAAATTCGTAATTTTTAGGAAGCTTCAACTTTTTTTTAATTCTAGTTAATGCTTTGCGGATTGAAAAATCTTGTTCTGGATATCCTTAAGTTTAAGATGAGGCCAATTTAAATGTCGCCTTTTGTCGCCTAATGGTCGAAATGAATTTTTTTCGGAGTGCACCTCCGTGCATCAAAGTGTGGAATATTCCATGCATTTTTGGCGTTTTCGCGACTGTTAAATTTTTTCTAGGTACAAAATAAAAGTATTCCGATATATTTTAATCTACTGAGTCCAAAAATGACCTTGGTTTCTTCTTATAACCTCTCTTTTTTCCGAAAAAGCGATTTTTTCCCGGGAAAATGAGCAAATTTGACGTATTTTTGCCATAATTGCAATTCATGTTGATAAATTATACTGGACCCACGGTAAAGAGATTCTGTTATGTGTATTAAGCTGCTAAATCCGAATATGACCTAGGTTTTTTTTATCACCATCCAATTATCCGATAATGCCGATTTTCCCGAGCCTTTTGGGTAAAACCTTTTCCGGATTCTAAGTGTGTTAAAAATACATTTTAAAAATGATTTCGATGTGTGATACATCGATTCTTATGCATTCTGACATGCTAAACCCGAATATGACCTTAGATTTTTCCTATCACCCCTCATTATCCCGGAAAATTCAATTTTCCTCGGAGAACGAGCTTTTCCGGGTAAAATCGGCTTTTCCGAAAAATTGAAGGGTAATGGACAAAAACGGAGGTCATATTCGGATTTACCGCCTAAAAATACATAAGAATAACCTAATCTCGACCGAAAGACATTTTTGTTATTATTTTTATACATGTCAAAATAGGGTGGAAAAAATCTTCAATCTAAAAAGCGCCAGAAATTACATTTGAAGTTAAGTTCCTCGGTCAGGATGTTAATATTTTGTTTAACTAAGATGTAAAATGAAATCAGCGACCCAAAAATCATAAGATCCAACACCTTTTATAACGGTGCAGTGCATTTTCGAATAAAGTTCCGTTAAATCCAGTCTGTGGACCATAGTGCGCTGTGAATGTTACAGTTGAGGTGCTTGGAAGACAAAGCGCATAAGTCTTTGCTATTTCGAGAAATACGTGTTTGAAGTTTCAAAATTACATAGACCCCTACGGCGGAAAAAAAGTTCACACTGATTTTATGATGCTCAACAATTGGAATTTAGCAGCTCCTTTCACAAAATTTGCATTAAGACTAGTTTTACTTAAAAGCATTAATAACTTCAAAATCTGCACTTATGAGGCTTGTCCTCCCAGCCCCTCAGTTATCGATGACTGGAGGCAAACATTGTGCATCACCGATTGCGACATTGCAAACCTTCGTTTCTTTTTATGAATTTTCATTCCTCATTGAAAATCAGAGAAATATTTTGGCTATTTCACTTTTAAGAAAATGAAATACGATCGAAGATTTTAAAACAATGCGGTGACATACGTACTTCTCAACTTCAGCCATCAATAAAGTGTATGTGAAATCCGAAAATTTGATACTTTACAAATAAAAGCGTTTTCCGTACAACACTCAAGGATCTATTTTCCAGAGTCCCTTTTTGATAGAAAGAGTTAAGACAACACGGCTCATGGATGTCACAAGCGGGAAAAAAGATTACACAAATTGAACGTTTTTCGAAATCTTTGATCAACTCATTCCCGAATTCCTGTCTCCGTTCCTTCTCTCATTTCGTTTGTTCCTTGCTGTGTCGCCAATTCCCCGGTCCATTCCACTTTATACATATGAGTCGCTTTTATAGCGCACTCTGGCGCTCTGCGACGCCTAATCGCCACAAAACTCGGTCCTCCCACACTCCATCAGGGAGTTGGCACTCCCTCATCTCACAGTCGTATGGATTGCATTTTGCAAAAAGGTACCTGAAGCATTGCAATAATGCCAAGATTGTGCAAATTCATCTTTTGCAGTAAAATAACTGAAATCATGAAAAAATACGAAATTTACATGGTAATTTTTGTCTTAGATTCACAGTTTTCAACGAGTAAAATAGAAACTGTCGATGGATAATCAAGTTTTTTTCCAAGACCAAAGAAGTTGCACAGTCTTAGCAACATTGCAATGCTCGTGGTTCCTTTCTGCAAAAATTGAATCCATTTAAAAACCCCTGTCGCCACCCTTTCACTGGGCATCCCTCTGTCTCCTCCCAGAAGGAACCCAACCAAGCATCTTTTTCCAGTTTATAATATTTGCAATCGATGAAAATGTAATCTTTATTCCCGTTTGCGACACTGAAGGCCTGAAATGCGGAACCAATCAGAAATTGATTCGTGTCGTCTTTACTCTCAGCATGATGGAACTCCACTATTTTCGAACTCGACTCGTTGGAAAACGCTTTCCTCACCCCTGCGAACCGAGGTCCTTTCTCCGTGGACAGTCATGTGCGATGCCCGGTGGGGTTCGACGGAAAATCAACATAAAACTTTCCCGGGAAACGGACTACGTTCAACCGGTCGGAGTTTTACGTAAGTTAAAACACTCACCACTCACCGCAGCGGCCGATCCTGTTTTCAAACGTCCTTGACGCTGATATGCAGAACCCTTTCGGCTCCCCCTCCAGTTTCGAATAACTGAGCAATGCGGGGACGCCGAACAAAACCCTCCGCGTATCGGGGATTTCCGAGCATCCCCGAACTTTCCTTCGAGTTGGCGGCAAGAACCGCGGACCAACACAAGACTTGCTTGGTGGTTGAGTGGTTTTTGTCGAGCAGGGCGGAGGACCTCTCGAACTCTGCGCGTCATGCGTCGATGTGAATACATTCAAATCACGAGCTCCCCAAAAGGGTAGGCTTCCCGGAGGGGGGGGGCGAGAGGACCCCGCGGGGGAGAATGATCGCGTATTCAATTCGCGCCAATTTTTCATCTTCCTTTTTAATCTTGCAGGTGGCCACAAGATGACAAATAGGGGACGGGAAAAACATAATAAGTTTGTTTCCCACGTGCCCTGTTGCCCAGTGGCGTTCTCTCTTCCGAAATTTAGAGGGGGCTTGAGGCACTAGACAAGCCACAAGCAAAAACTCTCCCTCACATATTTCCTCCTCAAAATCGTTAGAAAATTAATCCACACAGAGGAAATCCGGGAATGAGATGATTAAAAATTATAAGGAACGTAACGTACTAAGGGAGCGTTCATGAATTACGTAACGTACTTTTACTTACCGTACTTTAACGTAATTTTCGGCTTTTTAAAACCCCCTTTTCCCCCTGTAACGCTTTTGTGACGTAAGTCCTCATCATTCTATGCGTAAAAACAAAATGGCGTAACGCTCTCCTCGACTCCCCTCACTCCCCAGAGCGCTGCGTAATATATGAGTGCTCTCTAACTGCAAAATCTTTTTGTCCGTTTGTGATGTCTAAGAACCGAGATAGAGGACCTATACAGGGAGTGTGGGCATGTTGGTAATGGAGAATTTGCATGCAAATTTTTTATTGCTTCATCTGAAAGTTCTTAAAGAGCTGACTTCACGGTATTTTCTATAATTCATGAAACATGGGTATCCTCGTGTTCAGTTCACTCAGCAGTTTCTACTTGACCACGAAATTCATCAAATTTCAGACACCTGCAAATTCTCT